GTATGGCACAAATAGATCCTGTGTCTTGTATGGGACAAATAGATCCTGTGTCTCGTATCGGACAAATAGATTCTGTGTCTCGTATCGGACAAATAGACCCTGTGTCGTATGGGACAAAATAGATCCTGTGTCTCGTATGGCACAAATAGATTCTGTAACTCGTATGGCACAAATAGATCCTGTGTCTCGTATATGACAGATATATCCTGTGTGTCGTATGGGACGCATAGATCCTGTGTGTCGTATGTGACAAATAGATCCTGTGTGCCGTATGGGAAAAATAGATCCTGTGTGTCGTATGTGACAAGTAGATTCCGTGTGTTGTATGGGACGCATAGATCCTGTGTGTCGTATGTGACAAATAGATTCCGTGTGTCGTATGGGACAAATAGATTCCGTGTGTCGTATGTGACAAATAGATTCCGTGTGTCGTTTGTGACAAATAGATCCTGTGTGCCGTATGGGACAAATAGATCCTGTGTGTCGTATCGGACAAATAGATTCTGTAACTCGTATGGCACAAATAGATCCTGTGTCTCGTATATGACAGATATATCCTGTGTGTCATATGGGACAAAAAGATCCTGTGGATCGTATGGGAGAAATCGATCCATTGTCTCGTATGTGACAAATAGATCCTGTGTGTCGTATGGGACAAATAGATCCTGTGTGTCGTATGGGACGCATAGATCCTGCGTGTCGTATGTAACAAATAGATTTTGTGTGTTGTATGGGACAAATAGATCCTGTGTGTCGTACGGGACAAATAAACCCTGGGTGACGTATGGTACAAATAAAGCCTAGGTGACGTATGGTACAAATAGATTCCATGAAACTGGTGAGTCAACTGAAGATCTTGTCAGGTACAGTCACTTCGCCGATAACTTTACATCCCCACGGTGATAATCGTGCTTTCAGTTGCGTGCCTGGTCCAGATTCCATTATTTTGTGGCCATAGTTAGATTATTATTTACGATGTGACAACAGTCATTCGCTCACTCAAATCAGGTTCTCCGATATTGGATAAGTGACGACGAAATATCCATGACACTCAAATGTCTTATAACTTATCAACTTATAACCCTCGACTCTCCACTCCAAACAAAATAGGGAATGACCAAGTCCATCTTAGGTAGATCGTAGGGTTATGGTGCTATGTCAATACTTAACAAGTCATTATTGCATAATTGATGCTGATGCTGATGCTGATGCTGATGATGATGATGGTGGTGATGATCCCTTCACTTTTATGATGCAATCGTTTTTGGTTGTTGGTTTTTCATCTGAAAGATTCTATTTTGTGAATACATCCAAATACACTTGTAGAAAGAAGAACACATCACATAGTGTATAATGTTTAATAATTGACAATGTATAACACAATATATCACACAGGCATTCATAATATATAGAATATAAATCATGTCATGACAGGGAATATAACATATGGCAATCTTTATGAAGGTACGGCTGCCGTAAGGATGATGATATAAACATTAGTTTGCTACCTCGAACACAGTTTGATTTATTTCATCCACGCAAATAGCGTGGAAGTCTTACAAAGATTAAGGTCAAGTGTTGCAAAAAGAATTTTGCTTCCAAATCAGAGCTGATAGAACAGTTTTGTATGATTAACAAAATGACAATTACTCTACTTGAGTGTGATGAAAAGTCCAAATTTCTAAATGACATACACAAAAAGACGACCAACATCGACGATGTGCAGCGGCAACCTTTCGGAAGTGTAATTGGTTTGTTTGTTGTTTAACGCCGCACTCAGCATTATACAAGCTATATGGCGGCGGTCTGTAAATAATCGAGTCTTGACCAGACAATCCAGTGAAAACAGCATGGCAATCGATCTATGCAATTGGGTTACGATGACATGTGTCAACAAAGCCAGTAAGCCTGACCACCAATCCCATAAGTCGCCTCTAACGTCAAGCCAGGGTTTCTGAATACCAGTTCTAACCCGGATCTTCACATGGGGAGACAGGCATGGGTTTCTGAATACCTGTTCTTCTTTGGGAATTAATTTTTTATCTGACAACCGCTAAGGAAGTGTTATATTTGGGATTACACTTTCCCCATAAAGTACAGATTCTGAGCACCTAATCGCCAGCACAAAAAGTCAGCCGTTTGACCCACTCAGCCAACGAGGATTCCACGAAGGAAGTTTTTTTTCCTATAAACAATTTGAAACTATGTTTTTGTTCAGGATAATCTTTAAGCTGATTTGGGCGGTAACGGTTCTTGAATGATTCTCTTTGAAAGGTAACAATTGCAAAACAGTTCCATTGTTTAAGTAAACTTCCTTTAATGATGTTTCCTTGTCGCAGTTTCAAAATATTAAGCTTTTTCTAATAAGACATTTTCGCAATCAAAATGATACACAGTGGGTACCGCACTGATTTCTCTTGGACTGAAAGACGGTTTGCGAGGGTACTTTGTTGAACATTTGCCATAACCAAAGCGAACCAGCGAATCAGTCCGTTTATTGTCTCCACATACACGACAGTTCAAAATCTCACAGGCTGACATTGAAAAGGGATGGAGGGACACACCTACAACAATAGGGCCTGTAAGTCTACTTTGGTACTAAGCTGGTTCCCGGCTTCCTTTACACGCGCCAGCTTGCGATATGCGAGACGGGGCCCAGCAGCTTACTTCCGGTACCAGATTTCCGGTGACAAGCGTATATTCTAGAACCAGTTCTGGTTCCAAACTGCGCGACCGCCAAATATGACTAGACCGGACCAAGTGAACAACATTGCTTGGCTGTCACAGCTGTTGACTGTCGTAATAGTTGGCTAATTTGGGGATGGTTAGATCGGAAATTTGTTATTCCTGCAAGGGTTATCGGTACTTAATGTCAACAGAAAACCATGAAAAGGTATAAAAAGTTGTCACCGGAATGACTAAGGTTTCGCGAAGTGTCGTGACCTACTTATGGGTAATATTGCCCAACGTAGAAGCATTAATTGTTTACGCTTTAATTGCGATCAAAACTTACTTAGTCACGTGGCCATGTTGCGTGAAAGCATCAACAGCATTTCATGATAGGTTACATCTAACGGTTGACAAGTTTAGTTAAAACCCACCAGCACTGGCAAAGGATGTATTTGGAGTTCGAATCCACAAGCAGCGGATCCTGAAGGGTATGCAAGAAGGACATTGCTCAGCGGGATGAGGCGTCCTATACTAATAGGTCGCCTGTGCACTGTGATGACGATTCAGGTTTCTTAAACCCCAAACAAAGAGAACAAGTTTTGTCAATATCCGCCAGAGACCTTTGAGACATTGGTCAAATAAGCCAGGTCAATATCCAAGATTCCCGGAACAGTTGGTCACATGCTTGTTGCCGGAAGTCTGAGTGAGTGAGTGAGTGAGTTGGGTTTTACTCCGCTTTTAGCACTATTCCAGCAATATCACGGCGGGGGGGACACCACAAATGGGCTTCACACATTGTACCCATTTAGGGAATCGAACCCGGTCTTCAGCTTGACGAGCGAACGCTTTATCCATTGGGCTACCCCACCGCCCCGTACGTCAGACATTAGACCTCTCTGTATACATAGTATGACTCCGAATTCGACCCCTATCAACCCGATATACCTTTTGATACGATGTAACGTCGTGGTCGCTATGAATTGTGATCTAATAGCACACTGTGGCTAAATCCATATATTCAAGTTCCTGGACTTCGCGAAAATGAATTTTACGAGGGAATAACAATTGTAATTTCTTTTCGTTTAGCTGTTCAAAAGTTTTATTTAATATGTACGCAAATGTACGCAGCTTTTGTCAACCAGTGTAGTGTGTGTCATATCGTGTACAACACAATACAACCGTGTCATCTCGTATACAACAAATACAACCGCGCCAGAGTAACTCAAACTGTGTTGATACAAGGGAGGTAACTCTTACGAAACCCGCATTAAAATCATTCGTGACCACCCATGTCATTTCTGTAAGCCTGCCGTTCACGAGAAGTGGCGAGTGGTGACGAAAAAGCTCAAACTGATACTGAACAGATAACAAACATAAACAAATAAAAACAAAATAATATAGAAGAATTCGTAACCTTAGTTTTCGAATATTGCACCGTGATGATGAAGACAACGTACATTAAACAACAATAAACAGGTAGGATGGAAGAAGCCTAACAGTGACCGGCCTCATCTGAGTGAGTGAGTGAGTTGGGTTTTACGCCGCTTTTAGCAATATTCCAGAAATATCACGGGACACCCAAAATGAGCTTCACACACTGTACCCATGTGGGGAATCGAACCCGGATCTTTGGCGTGACGAGGAAACGCTAAATATTGCTAAAGGCGGCGTGAAACTAAACTCACTCGTCCTTGTATCTAATGACACCCCATCCACTACTACAACTTCTCAACACTTTGCTTCAACTTTGTCGAGAAATTATATAACTATCAATATATAATTCGCTTTCGCGCCAGATTTCAGCACATTGCAACTTCTTACAACACACTGTAACTATGTGTGTTGCTATAGCTCAAACTGGCGTCAGTGTCTTGTCAGAGTAAGTTTAGTGTGTTTGAAGTGCTCTTTGGACAATAGTTCAGTTACTGCATGGTGTGTCAGCTTTTTGGAAGGAGTGAGTGAGTGAGTTTTGTTTTACGCCGCTTGTAGCATGTTTCAGCAATATCACGGCGGGGGACACCACAAATGGGCTTCAAACATTGAACCCATGTGGGGAATCGAAGGCGGGTCTTCGGCGTCACCAGCGAACGCTTTAACCACTAGGTTACCCAACCACCCTCTTTTTGGAAGGAAAGCGATACGGGAGTAAATATTGGTAAAACACACCGGCAGGATACACCGCATGATATGGGAGATGGAATCTGATCAACAAGAGGGATATAGAATCTACATGACTGTAAATAAACATCGGTGGCGCTGCCATCAAGTCGCCATATTCGAACCAAATTCCTAAGTGTGGACATACAAATGCAAAATATATGTATAACAAATGCGTTTCTTCGTCTTTATTTTTACAAACGCTAAAAGATTAGATTTTTGACGAATATATGTATTTTGTTACCTTTGGGTATTCAGTTCGAACGTTTGTATTCAAATAATAAATACTTGGGTCCTCGTTATCAAGTATATCTGGCTAGTATAATACCAGATATGTACATGAACAACCACAACTGTGAATAACATGTTTGACTTTTACGATAAGCATGACATATTTACACAAGCACGAAAAACAAATAGATTCCTTGTATTTGAGCACCAGTAAAATCGTAACAATATAAAGAATGAACAATGAAAATATACACCCGCTTGCGTAGCAACGTTGCTGTACCAAGCTCTCACATGAGTAGCTTCCATTATGTGAAAACTGGTCGCCCTTCCGCCGAAAAGGCGTCGTTGTCGTAAAGTGTCGTGAAGCGCCGTAAACCGCTCTTGACATGGCTGACGTTGGCTTGAAGTCGTAAAACGTACGTACGACTACGTAGCAGACTCAGTACAGTTTCCGCCAACGTGGCTGCCGGGCAGTTCTTCAGTATCGAAACTCTGTGGTGAGGAATATTTACTTTCACTGTCACTAAGTGTCCTGTTCACATGTGTAGGATACTCAACTGGTTTGACCATTCGTAGACACTTCTGAAATACAACAACGTCGTGTATCGATAAGTTGGGGGAGCAGATTCATTCCAAATATAACGAGTCTTCAATTAAGGCTTTGAATTTAGTAAATAAGTGAGTGAGTTTGGTTGTACGCCGCTTTTAGCAATATTCCAGCAATATCACGACGGGGGACACCAGAAATGGACTTCACATATTGTACCCATGTGGGGAATTGAACCCGGGTCTTCGGCGTGATGAGCGAAAGCTTTAACCACTGGGCTACCCCACTGCCCCTAAGTAGATAAGTGGTGACAGACAAGGAATGAGAGCGGGATAAGCTGGGAGGACAGGAGTGAGAAGGATGAAATTTGCAATGCATGATCAGGAAGTATTGAAATTGGGAAGATGGCATGGGATGGGATGAAATGGAATGAAATGGTGAATGGGATGAAATCTTGTGAAAAGGTTGACTTATACAGGTTAGAATATAAAAGTCTAAACGTTGAACAAAACTAATTAAAGTCATCATAAATGTGAGAATTTATGGATATTAACTTTTTTATTATGCGGGACACGGCGTTTCGGAGTATATTCTTAATGCTTCATGAGAGAATATATGTCGCGTTGCTCATAATAAAGAAGTTGACATCCATAAATTCGCACAAGCCAAAACATTGATTGCACACAGTCTCGTTTCCTGCTGACTGGGTTCCGTCCTATGGCGCAACTTAGTACAATAACCAGTCCAGAATTGTAAGACCAATTCATTTAACTGGATACATAAGTATTAATCAGTATTATTTGGTACATCTAAGCACTTGTAGATTGGAACACTACGCTCCTTCTAATCCTTGCAAACATGTTGTGCAGTGTGCTCTGTCGTACAAACAGAAACCTGGAAATCGTGGAAATCTATAAACGCCGCTAGAGAAGTTTGGCGGTCTGGTACGGAGTTTATATTATATCTATCACATTGTGCTTGACAGCACTACACTGAATAAGCGCCATAAAATACATAACAGGTGTAACCAATGAGCCAGATGCATTGTGAATCATTTTACGACCTCATCAAACTGGGTAGTCTGTGACGTCTTAGTTAAGGTCATGCTGCCTACACCTCGCCATAAAATATAGAAATGCGATGCTATTAAAGTTTAAAATTAAAATTCAGTTGTAAATACCACTTCGTATGAAAAAAGGAATTGGAATTCAGTGTAACCATAGTTGTTTTTGATGTCTATTTTCACTTACACACGAGAAAATTCGGATCGGCTGAAAAGTAGGTCATTGTCTGAATAGGTTAATGAGACTCATGTTTCGGTTTGCTTTTATGTGTAACACTTCGAAATTCAGTTCACACTTTCTTTCATAGGCATAACTATGGACAATTATTCAGTACACAAAATAAACCCCAACAAAGGAATTCGGTTACACAAATACCTCAGGGAATAAGCGAGTCCGAATTTAGACATTTAAGAACCTATTTCCCAAAGACTCGCATGTTCAATATAGAGATACTGATCGATATAAAGATCTAGTCAAACCAGTCGGTACCGCCATAGTGTCTAGAGTTCTCTAGTGCGTCACGGCATGTACAGAGTATAGTCGAAACACTGGCCTATAGCCTCAGGTTCAAGACCAATACGTTCATATTCCCGTACTGAACTGTGTCGGCCACTGCGAATAGAGAAGATCTTTAACCAGCCACTGGCCATGATTTCATTGTGTAAATGTGGTCTTTACCATGAACCCAGGGTACTAACAATTTGTTCCAGAAAATACTTGAGAAAATAGATTGAATGTTTTAAAAACCTAGTCCTTCTCTAAAGGAAATACCTGACATTGAACCCTCTCATTTATAAAGGTGTCCAACAAGACCTGAATATCTAGTCATGGTGGTTGAACTGAGTGAGTGACTAATGTTTTACGCCGCTTTTAGCAATATTCCAGCAATATCATGGCGGTACACCAGAAATGGGCTTCACACATTGTACCCATGTGGGGAATCGAACCCCCACGCGTTAACCGAGTGAGTGAGTTTAGTTTTACGCCGCACTCAGCAATATTCCAGCGTTATGGCGGCGGTCTGTAAATAGTCGAGTCTGGACCAGACAATCCAGTGATCAGTAGCATGAGCATCGATCTACGCAAATGGGATACGATGACATGTGTCAACCAAGTCAGCGAGCCTGACCACCCGATCCTGTTTGTCGCCTCTAACGACAAGTATGGGTTGCTGAAGACCAATTCTAATCCGGATCTTCACGGGACCTTCAACCACTAGATTGCCCCCACCGCCCCCATGATGGTTGAAGATGACAGATCACAGTGTCCTTACCTGCTTGAGTGTGCCTTTAGAAGAAAGGAACCAATATACCATGAAGACCGGGATACAGAGAAGTGACATTGAGGTGAGACACCAGCCCAGCGCCACAGCCCAGGGGGGATATACGTAGGTTCCGAGATGTATGCCCTGATACCCGATGATGGACAGCACGAACAGAGTCTGAGAACACATGGACATAACACATAACACAATTTAATTCTGGAAACCCAAAAGTCCAGAACTCTCCGCACTGTGGCCAGGTTCTGACATAGGATTTGACGAAATTCAAAAATATGAAAAAATGAAAAAGGTTTTTTTCGAAAACTCAAAATTCAAACTCGCTCTGCCTATCGGCCGGCCCATGGACCAAAATAATTACTTTCGCTTAAAATACATGTTGTTTTCATGTTTTGGAGGTTGTTAATGAATGAAAGTATGCTCATAAGTATCATGACAAAAAGAAATATTGGGGTTCAACGCCGCGTTTGAACTGTTACAGTATTCCAGTTATATCACCAGTTTAAAGTTGGAGCGAAAATTCGAGGCGATGTAGGCCTAAGACATTTACCCATTTGGTACAGACAAACCCGGAACCATTATCGGAGTGAATACGGGACTCGATCCGACGATTCATAGTTCTTTGGTCATTCTAACTGATTAAACTTCAATTGTAATAACAGAAATTCAGAACTAGTTATTCAACCATTATTCCGGAAAGAGTAAGAACGAGCAAAGTCGCCCTTTCTTTAGCAGCCACATCAGATGGGATTAGCTTGTCTTATTTTTTCAGTTCTTAAAACAAGGCCTTTGACAAGGTAATTAACTCTTTAATGGTGGTTTTGATACTTGTTAAAATAAGATAGAAACAGTCAGTGACATTTCCACGTGAATGATGAGATATTTTCAGTCAGTAATCCAATCGCATGCCAATTTGACAAAGAGCTGAGTAATCAGTTTCACTTTGGCGTTAGCTCAGCCTATTTTATCAATAAAGCTGTTAGAGAGAGACATTTGTCAAAATGAAGACCCCCCTTACCAGCAAGCTGAGGGGGCAGATCCCCACCCAGCAAACCTTCCAGAAGATGCCCGGGGGTGATCCCAGCATGGCCTGGATGTCCGAGGAGAAGCGCTGGACACCTGTGGGGAGGATATGCGTATGTCAGTCACAGATATCTGTACCAGGATGTAAGACTTCTCACTCTTAGAGTGAGTGAGTATGGTTTTACGCCGCATTCCTCCACTCTTGATAAAAAGTTATCTTTTAACCTACTTTCTACGATATTCAGCAGCCATGTTCGACTAAAATTACCTGAGAACATATATACATTACTAAGCCCGCATGAGTTAAGGATATTTTCAGCAAATTTAAGCCAGGAATAGGAATAGTTATTTACCACACTATCTAATGACATGAAATTATAGATTACCTGTGACAATTTTAATTGGGTCAAGGGTGTGGTGAGTTTGTGTCAATAACTAATAATTCTTTTGGATATATGAATGCTGATAGGATATCTTCCGAACTCACCATATAAGAAATAATTCGGTGTAGACATTCTGAGACCAGAGGCTAATTTTAAAAACTTGGTATGTACGTTTTCAAGTATATCTATTTTACCATGATCCCAAAATTCAGAGCCGTACAACATGATATGTAAAATCATTAAATCAAACGCTTTAAATACACAATCAAGTGGTAAATCAATGTTTCTTGCCATTTTCAATAACAAAAAACATACATTTCTTAACCTGTGTAGATAGTACATTAATACCAAAAGAGAACTTTCTATTATTGTGAAAGTTAAACCCCAAGTAGTTATCATTATCTACTATTTCAATTACTTCGGTGCCATAGTGAAACGATAGCTTATTTACTCTACACTTGCCACTTCCAAAAATAACAATTTTAGTTTTGTAACTATTTACAGTCAGTCTCCATTTCTGGCAATATACATGAAAATGGTCCAGGGACCTTTGCAGGGCTGACGCTGAGGTAGCGAATAGCACTGTGTCGCCTGCATATAACAGTACTAGCAGCTGTAAGCAAATTACATTCATATCATAATTATTTAAGGATATATCAACACCATTACAATCAAGTGTTTTTAACCATGATTCTAAATCACTTATAAAGATAGAGAACAATAACGGAGAAAGATTTTCACCCTGTCGAACCCCCGAGAAACTTGGAAAAGACGCAGACTTTTCATGGTTAAACTCAATACTGGATTTAATGTTAGAGTACATATTTTGAACTAATGTACAGAACTTTCCTTGGATACCATAAGATAACATTTTTGACCAAAGACCAACAGGGGCGGATAGCTCTAAATCAAAGTGAACGAATATGGTACTTATATGCATTTATATGCACGAATATGCATTTTAGCGCTGCGCATTTATCAACGAGAGTCAATTACTTAACTATCGATAGTCACACATACTATCGACGCATCGACAGTTTTTCGTTAGAACTACAATCGATTTATTGCTATCGAAGACTCAACAATTGCAATCCATCGATAGTTCGAAGCATCGTTACAGCACTACCAATGACACCAAATGTGTAAATAGACCGGACGTAAATCAGTGTCGACTAATTTAATTAAAATGCAAACGCATCCGATCGGATCGTACTTTCAAAGGGCTCTGATGTAAGTCTTCCCATGATTGTGTCACTGAATTGATTCACTAGCATATGAGAACATGTGAGCATTACAGCGCATCTGAGGCGTTCGTGGCCTACCGTATATCCAGTTGACAGCGATGGCCTCGATGAAGCAGATAAAGATGAGAGACATGGGAGCGGCATGCGTGTCCATCAGTTGAATGATGTATTGACCGCCCTGCAACACAAGGGAGATAACTCTCATGACAGGGAGATAACTGTCATGACAGGGAGATAACACTAAAGGCTCAAATAGGTCTTCCCTGTCTAATTTGGCCCTGTAGTCAAGTAGTTTATGGGATTCCGTGAACGTATTTTAATGAAAGCAAAGCATACATTACTTTGTGTTCATTACTTAAAGGAGTTTAAAAAAATGTTTGGTTCCAATTTGAATATTAATGCAAAAGCTAAATTTAGCTCAAAATCCAAGATGGCCACCAACATTTAACCGGGAACTGAAAAAGTTGCAAAAACCCGGAACAAAACAATGGTTTTGATATCAAATACCATACATATTTGGTTAATACTGTCCCCATCCTACCACACTACTGAAGGTTTTTGTCGTCACAGTCTATGAACCATTTTATTTTCACTTCCGCTCGACCTCTACAGTAATACAATAGCTCGAAATGAAAGAAGTATAGATTACCGAGGTTTTGAATCTCCCTTCGCACTGGGGGTCCACATCAAAACACATAATTTGTTTCCAAACTGTCTATTGTTCAGGGACTAGGGGCTAGCCCATCTTTGTTGATAGGGTTATATGTAGTTTTAACGCACAACTCAACAATATTCGAGCAATATTACTTCGGAAGATAAAATAAGCGAGTCTGAACCAAACAAGCCAGTGGTTAACAGCATGAGCATCGCACAATGCAATACATAGCTATATCGCAACGATCAGCACCAAATATGCTTGTAGGCGACTAGAATATCCAGCAGTGGATAGCATGCGAAGTTATGCACGTCGTATTCACATATACTTAGGGAAACAAATACGTGAACACATGACAGCACACGTGTTCCTTTATTTTTCCAGATTTCTTCACAAGCTTTGTATCGTACTGTGTATGAAGAAATCTGGGGAAATAATAAAGGAACACTTGTGCTTTCATGTGTTCCCTTATTTGTTTCCCTCAGTATATATCCCGAGGGTTATGATAGGACTGGAAAGCCCAGAGACTAAACATAAGAGCATCTGGGTGCCGTTGTCCAAAACAACCTTAGCACTAAGACTACCTTAAGTCTATGTTAAGGTATGGGAGTTACGGCCACCTCAGCGCTAAGATCGCTTTGTACAACGGCACCCTGATTCTCTACTTACGTAGGTCGTTGTTGGCAGCCCGATGATGAAACATAGTGCAATCTGAGCAAGTACTACGAGTTCACGCCTCTTTCGCAACCTGGGGAACTGGTCAGTGATGGCCGTTATACTGGACTCCAGACCGCCAAACTGTAACCATGGCAAAACATAAAATGTTAGTGTTATCACATATGACGATACATACAGCAACCTTCGCTCCTCAAATACGGTTCTGTCAATACGGCTCTTTCAATATGGTTCTTCCAATACGGTTCAGAAATCCTTGATTCATAACATTATCATTTTGGGTCGGCATCTACCAGGTATCACCTTTAAACATCCCTACACACATGCAGAGGAAAATGAAACAAAGATTGGACACTCGCCCACGTTGTGCAAACCTGAATAACTGGGCTAAACCAACACTACACAGTGATAACACCTAACAAGACCATAGCGTGATCGAGCATAATTACGATAACAAGCAAGAAAAAGTCTGGATATCTAGAAAATATTACCAACTGGAATTTGCATGAGTCAAATAAAATATCGAATTCAATAAGAGCCCGTTATAACAGACTGTAGCGTTCCCACTGGTATCCTGATTAACAGAAGCTTGTCATGGCAGTTTGTCATAAAAGGCAGTCTCCACAGTAACTGACAAGTGGGTAGGACTTCCGGATTATACATGGGATATTGTTCTACCAGCAAGTCTCTCACTCACACACACACACACACTCTCTCTCACTCTCACACACACACACACACACACACACACACACACACACACACACACACACACACACACACACACACACACACACACACACACGTAAGAGATTGCGAAAAGTGACAACAAAATAATGATCGTTTGTTCAACTTTTTTCTTTATTCGGGTGCCCAAAATTATGAGACAAATCATCAGAGTTGGTCTGTGGATTTCATGTGACTGCAAAATTTGGTTTTGTTGCGGTTATTAGAGTTTGTGTTAGTGAGCAATTCATTGGTCTTAAATGAAGTCAAACGGACTATAGGTGGCTGCAAGAGTTGTATGATCCCTAGGGAGTTGAGATTGATAATATGTGCGCTATATTAATATCCTATAATAATGATAATAATAATATTCATAATAATAGTTGGGCCACTCACCGAGCTGTCAAGGCCCAGTGTTATGAGCATGAGGAAGAAAAACACGGCCCATGCTGGTGACCCGGCGAAGGTTGCAATGGCTTCTGGGTAGGCGATAAATACAAGGCCCGGGCCGTCACCTGTAAAAGAAACAATGGCTATTTTATCAAATTTGCATGCACTTTCTTCAATCTTGCAGTCTTAAACATTAAACACTTTCTGAAATATGGGGCGGTAGGGTAGCATAGTGGCGCTCGTTTGTCACGCTGATGACCCGAGTTCGATTCCCCGCATGGGTATAATGTAGGAAGCCAATTTCAGGTGCATAACATCGCACTCACTCACTCAATTGCTCATTCTGAAATGTGCATGAAACGTATGACACATTTAACTTATAACTGCTTACATTCTTCCAATGGTTACAATTATGAAAAGCGAGCGAGTTTAGTTTCAGGCTGCTTTTAGCAATATTCCAGCAATATCACAGCGGGGACACCACAAATGGGTTTCACTCATTGTACCCATGTGGGGAATCGAACTCGGGTGTGACGAGCGAACGCTTTAACCACTAGGGGAAGGTGTTACACACAGCATTCCAGGTATATCAGTTCGAGTCAGTCTGAAGATGTAAAGCAGGTTTTAGACATAATGGAGTCGAACCCACGATTGTTACCGGCAGGAATTCTGGGTGCGAATACATATTCCCCCTGCAATCGCATGGGGCGGCTAAATGGAAAACATATGCTGCAGGCAACAAGCCCTCAAAATGCTGAAATAATGGATAAGAATAAGAAGGGAGAGTCCGTCTAAACTGGCACTTACTCTGAGCGGCGACCTGGTCCACTTCAACGTTCTGGAGATGCGCCATATAGCCGAGAACAGCGAACACAACAAAGCCGGCCAAGAAACTTGTTAAACAGTTGATGACCGGCGTGATCATGGCGTCCCTGGTAAACGATGGAAACAGGTTCGTTTTTACAGAAGAAAACAACAACAAAAAACAAACAAACAGGATATGTAATTATAAAATGTCATATGTTATATACGTCCGGTGTCTTCAATTTCTACGACAAAGGTAACAGTTACCACAATATATTTTCAAGCCGCTTCAAACAGTCTGTTGCTAGCGTTGACCAGTATGTTTGTCGTTTAACGCCACACTCAGCAATGTCAGCTAGATGGCGGCGGTCTGTAAATGATCGAATCTGGACCAGACAATCCAGTGACGCAAGTAGTCGCCTCTCAATGAAGGCGCCTATGGGTTGCTGAAGACCAATTCTAACCCGGATCTTCACGGGTGCAACTGGTAGTAATAACTAGTCTGGTGTAATATTCAATGAGCTTACGTCTGGTGCGTCGCTATGAAGCAAATGTTAGTGTTCTAGTGTTTACTCACAGGAAGCAGTTGTTATGGAATTTGTTATAACTGGCTAGAGCCAACAGGGTGCCGAATCCTGGTCCAAGAGAGAAGAAGATCTGAGCGGCTGCGTCTACCCACACCTGCAGAGAAGATCGAGAGTGAGACAGAGAGTGAGCTGAAGTTTTACACCTTGTAGAATAGTGTTTCAGAGCTTCCTACCCATGAGAGAAGGGACCGGCCGGGTCAGGAGTCACACTGAAGCCAAAGCACAATTGCAAATTCCCTTCTCGGAAAAGTCACGGAAAACGATGTACTCAGGATAGTTTGTGGGATTTATATTTTTCATATGAACCCAGTATGACTTGAGGTTTATCAGTTTTGTCGTGAGAGCGTGACATGAGTAATACAAGCTTGAGGTGAGGTGAAATGGGGTTTAACGTCGTACTTAGGAATATTTCGCTCATATGACGACGTGCATGGGTGTGTATGTGTGGCTGCTTGTACTAGCCCAAACTTAAGCTGGTTTTATAGTGCTAGCTCACTGAGATACCATGATGCAGACACATTATGCTGACTCCGAGCCGACCAGTCCTTGTTGTACCCATTAATGCTGAGAGTCAGGCAGAGACCAACAAGTACCATATTTTATTGTCTTTAGGTATGACGCGGCCGGGGATCGAACCCACGACCTTCCGGGCGGACGCTCTAACCACTACACCACGGAGGCGGCGTAATACAAGCGTGGGTCTCAAGCCAAAGGCGTATTTCCGTAGTAATGGTACCGGGTCCGCTTGTTGCGCGATGGAAGCGCTTTGTAATGCGGGTTAGAGACACTTGATTAGGGGTACTGACAATGACAATCATGACCAAGTAGCCTGACAACATTACTAAGTATACGTTGCAGGATTTGTTCGTTTCTGAACAACAAAGTGTACACAGCATTTGCAGCACAAAATCTATTCTAAATTATCTTCGCGATTATCTATTTCACAATAACGCTCCAGGCCATATGTTGATCCTTATTCAGCTATGTCCATTTCTGGTGTCCCCCGCCGTGATATTGCTGTAATACTGCTTAAAGCGGCGTAAAATCATATTCACTCATTCATTCAGCCAAGTCACCTGTGCGCATGCGTTCTCCACATTGGGCTCACCACTTTTCAGAAATACCGTGACGTGTGTTACTTACATCAACAGTGAGAAGTCTGGAAAAGTCGGGCTTGATAAAGTAGTAGATCCCTTTCGATGCCCCTGGGAGAGTGCATCCTCGGATGAGGAGAATGAAGAGAACGATGTAAGGGAGAGTGGCAGTAACCCACACGGCCTGGGAACACAAAACGTTATATTTCAACTTCGAAAACTAAGGATTCAAATTGATTTAAAATTATATTTTTGAAAAAAATATTGACGTTGTTGCAATGTACATTATAACTGACCTCTGAAGAGCATTTAGAAGTTTGAAGGACAAACAACATGAAAGGTTTATGGAATACGTGTCGGTGAGGTGAAGTGAGGTGAGTGAGTGAGCCGCATTCAGCAATATTCCAGCTATGTGGCGACTGTTTGTAAATAATCGAGTCTGGACCAGACAATCCAGTGATCAACAGCATGAGCATTGATCTGCGCAAGTGGGAAACGATGACATGTATAAACCAACTCAGCGAGCCTGACCACCCGATCCCGTTAGTCGCCTCTTACGCCAAGCATGGGTTACTGAAGATCAATATTCTAACCCGGACCTTCCCGGGTCTGAGGTGAGGTGAGATGAGGTGAAATGGAGTTTAACGTCATACTTGAGAATGTTTCGCTCATATGACGACGTGCATGCGTGTGTATGTGTGGCTGCTTGCACTAGCCCAGACTTAAGTTGGCCTTATAGTGCTTGCTCACTGAGATACCATGCCGCATTTAAGCATGAATACCCCACTCAGACACATTATACTGACTCTGAGCCGACCAGTCCTTGTTGTACCCAGTAATGCCGAGCGCCAGGCAGTGAACAACAAGTACCATATTTTATCGTACTTTGGTATGACGCGGCCGGGGATCGAACCCGCGACCTTCTACTCTCCGGGCGGACGCTCTAACCACTACACCACGGAGGCGGTCCGTTTCAGAGAAATATACTGAAACATAAAGATACCTTTGCTTTGAAATATACTGACGTACAAAGGAAATTATAAGCCTGTTTTCGGGGTTTATTTAAAAAAAAAACAAAGTGATTATTTTTAAATTTTAAGTTTTGATTGTGACGTCCAAGCGTTGCTAAAACACCACAGGCGTCCTGTACAGTGTTGTGCGTGGAATATCAAGAAAATGATGATCACGTTGAATCGCACGTGCATGGCATGCAGTAACAGTACGAAACATATTCCACCAAGTGAGTGAGTCAGTTTTACGCCGCTTTTAGCAATATTCCAGCAATACCACCAGAAATGGGCTTTATACATTGTACCCATGTGGGGAATCGAACCCGGGTCTTTGGCGTGACGAGCGAACGCCTTAACCACTAAGCTACCCCTACGCCACTATTCGACTAAGAGTCACAATCAAACTGTTTTCAGAATATTTTGGCTGTTACCTAGTTTTTTATTTCTTTCTCGTTTCAGGTTGTTTTTAATTGTTTGTTTGTTTGTTTGAGTGTGTGTGTTCTTTCCTTTTTTGTTTTCTTTTGTCGAAAAATGCCAAAGGTACGGGCGGGTTCTTTCTTTTGTACGTCAGTTTAATCTGGTTTCGTCAGGGCTGAAGTTGCACATTGTCTAGTATAACACCATTGGCACGCACCTTGCCCGATGACTTGACCCCCTTCCACAAACAGAAGTAGATGACGATGAAGATGGCGAGAAGACACAAAGTGAGTGACCACTTGATATTGCCCACGTTGCCCACTCCATCTGACCACTGGAACTCAAGAATCTCCTTCCTGGAACAAAGATACTGCAAGATCAGTCTCATTATCGAGGGTAATATTTCTTCGTTCCAATTATGCTGTGTCGCTTTAATGAAATAACAGTTGCAAAACAATACACCTGTCGAATAAACATTTGAGAGGTGAGGTGAGGTGAAATTGGGTTTAACGTCGTGGTTGAGAATATTTCGCTCATATGACGACGTGCATGCGTGTGTATGTGTATGTGCGGCTGCTTGTACTAGCCCAGACTGAAGCTGGTTTTATAGTGCTAGCTCACTGAGATACCATGCCGCAGAGAAGCATGAATACCCCACTCAGACACATTATACTGACTCCGAGCTGACCAGTCCTTGTTGTACCCATTAATGCCGAGCGCCAGGCAGGGACCAACAAGTACCATATTTTAACGTCTTTTGGTATGCGGTCGGGGATAGAACCCGCGACCTTCCGCTCTCCGGGCGGACGCTCTAACCACTACACCACGGAGGGTGTAAATTTGAGTGATGTCAGTTGGGTAACTTTGACTGTTTCTAAGTCATTTCATGGATTTTGTGGGCGAAGGGAGAGTCTAATCGTTCAAGCGTCCGCTCGTCACGCTGAAGACTCGGGTTCGATTCCCCATATGGTTACAATGTGAGAATCCACGTTCGAGGCCGCGAAGGTAAAATGACTCCATTTATGTAATCTCCAGTTTTGTATAAAATATTATTTTTTCAATGTTTGTTTGTGTACTCATTGTTTTGTATGATATTCTTTATTTTGTCAATCCTGTATTTTGGAGTCATGTGGATTGAATGCATTCTATTTTCTAATAAGTCTTTTGATCGTTAATTATCATTAGGTATTGCACAATATGCCTTCAGTTTATGGCGTTCCGGGTAGTATATGTCATTACCTTGGATTCCTTATTTTATTTATCAATGGTTGTTGTAACCATATGTAATTAGGTGTATCATTCTGGTACCGATTATCTGTCAGATGGGCTGCCCACAATCTTTGCGTCATTAATTGAGGTGTGGATTTCAGGCATACGGTGAGGGTATATGACACTATTATCCACAAATTCCCCTCTCTACTTTATGTGTACGATGCCAACATTCAGAGATTAGACTCAGTAACTGTTACTTACAAGAAATACTCGGTAGCTGCCGTGACGGACGTGTTGGTGATGTTGTCGTTGTTGGCCAGGGATACACAATCGTGGCTGTTCCAGCTGTTGTTACAGCTTTTCCACGGCACCTCTGCCCTGAACGAGGACACGAGGTACAGCATGCCCCACGCTATGACGGTGTTGTAGTAGGACCCCACCAGTGTCGCGATGATGCACACGCCAAAGCCCACACCTGTTAATATGAGTGAGTGAGTTTAGTTTTACGCCGCTTTTAGCACTATTCCAGCAATATCATGGCGGGGGACACCAATATGGGCTTCACACATTATACCCATGTGGGGAATCGAACCCGGGTCTTCGGCGTGACGAGCGAACGCTTTAACCACTAGGCTACCCCGCCGCCCTGTTAATATCAAGAAGCTGTCGACTTGTTACGCCATGTATGATCGTGTCAGGCGTTTAATGGGTGTCCCTTAGCCGAGCCATAATGACCCTAAGCTGCCACAAATATATCAATGGGAACTAATGCATGAGAAACTGATGAATGACCTTTTTAAAATATCGGCATATTTCTTTTTGAGAAAATATATTTTGAAGTACATCTATTTTTCCTTGCAATTTCAGCAATATCACGGCGGGGGACACCAGAACAGGATTTCACACATTGTACTCACGCAGAGAATCGAACCCGTTTCTTCAGCGTGACGACTGGACCCTTTAACCATTAGGCTACCCAAACGCCGCATTTGCCTAATCAGCAGTTTAATATCATTTTGGGTTTTTTTTAAAAATATGTTGGCATTAAGGTACAGGATTGGTATACATAGGTTACGAAAGCCGATAGTTTGCTTCATGGAACACATGAATTATGAAGGCGGGACTGTGGGGGTAGCCCAGTAGTTAAAGGGTTCGGTCGTCACGCTTCTAGCGTCTCCCGCCGGGATATTTCTGGAGTAATGCTATAAGCCAGGTAGAACCATAGTCACTCCCATGAATTATGAATGATGACAGTTAATGAACGGATGTGTATACTGAACTGAACTGGAAGGCCCATACTTTGGACTCACCACTGAACATGGGGCAGATCCTCTTCCAGACCGTGATGATGCCTGTCCGCTGATACTGACCAAGGGCCAGCTCCATGTAGAACAGTGGAATCCCGAGGAACACCAGCATTATCATGTAGGGAAGCAGGAACGCGCCTGTAAACATAAACGTCGTATTTGAACACATACTGTCAGTGGGGGAATGTTGTTTAAAATACATCGACATCACAATCAATAATATTCCGGCTCTAGTAGTGCCATCTATAAATGGAATATGCCCAGATTACCTTAGTGCCTAGTTTGTCTCACGGTCCCCGAACCACATTATTTTCCCTACAGCCTCGCCCTCCCTGCAATGCCAAAGTCTAGATTTACTCAGGTTCTGAATTTCGCAGCTCACTGGGGCTCCCTTTCAATTTAAAAGGGTTTGTGTGTTAATATTAAAATTATATACCTATTCAGAGACTAAACTTTAGTCTACTAAAAGTGTCCTGCCTAACTCTCTCACACACAACACCTAATAAGCACAGAACCCAGATCATTAATTATCTTAATGTCGCTTTCTGATTGGCTCAGCGCTCTTCTATTATTTTCAATGTACCCCGCTGTCAATGGCAACTCATTTGGTACTTCGTAATTCTTTATCTCGAATAACATTAATCACGTATGATGTACGGAAATTACCGATGTTTTGCAAATGTAAATCGATGGAAGGGAGATAACTCTAAATCTGTTTATCTTGTCAGCAAAATCTAGCGATGGCTACAAAAAGATTTGTACCCGTGCTTCAAATAATTCAAAATTAACATTAAGGTGTTCGGTAAGATAAATACGTTGTTCACTGGTCCCTCGGGGCCCATGGGTTGATGTAGGTGACTTAGGTGAAGTGGGAGGACACCCTTTAAGTACAGTAAACTACAGTCAAACACCGCTCACGATAGTTCGCTGTAACCGTAGTTCGTTATATGCATTTCGACTCAAATTTACAGTAAGAAGCTGAGGCAAAAACAGTTCGTTATATCCATCACTTCGTTACACGCGTGTTCGTTATAACCATAGTTTATTGTATATTGGTATGGGGACGGTGGGCATTGGTTAGCAGCACCCTATGTTCGCCAGTCAGGTGACATAAAAACAAATAGTTTGTTTCGAGAAATCGGAGCCAGGTCACCCTAGTAACAATTCAATTTCGTCTCCAAAGGTGCCAGTGCCATCAGTAACTACTCGTGTCATTCCGGCAAGCCCAATGGCGACTCGTCTCCCTCTCGTGGCCGTGTTCATGACTGGGCCTTTTCTAAGCGCAAACGGCCACGGAGTTGAAAACAGTCCAGGACTATTTCCAAGGAAAGATAACTCTGAATTTCAAAACATGGCTACTCCTAGAAATTTATAATGCAACACAAAAGTCACTTTTTTCTTACGTCGAAGACAAATAACAGTAACAAGATAATTTGATAATCACGGAAATAATGATGAAAATCGATAATTGCAAAGAAACTATTTGACTCATTTCACATTTTACTACGCGCGATTTGATTGGTTTGCCACGATTCTTGGCAATAATGGCACACCATCCAGGTACGAATCTTCTTGTAGGTCACGGAAAGAGGCGAGTAGTTACGAATGGAGCCAGTGCATAAGGTCAGTGACCTCGGATGTCCGTGTACCAGGTCAGTGACCCATAATGTCCAAGCAACAGGTCAGTGACTCAAAACTTCCCGTTTAACAGTAAGCGCTTAATAAGCAAATATATTCCCGTGTCAGAGATCTAAAGTTCAAAGACCTTTATCAGATCAGGAAGACCGCTGGTAGTTTATATCAAGGACGTTTTACAGTAACATTAAATTTGTAGTGTACACAATGTGCATCAATTAATATACTTAGTCTATAATTTTTTCGTATAATGATACATGCATGTAGTTTTGAATAACGCTTCTGTTTTTGTTTGTTTGTTTGTTGTTTAAAACCGCAGTTATAATAGCGGCTGTCTGTAAACAATCGAGTTTTGACAGACAATCCAGTGATCAACAGCATGAGCATCGACATACGCAAATAGGATACAATGACATGTATCAACCAAGTCAGCGAACCTGACCACCCGATCCCGTTAGTCGTCTCTAATTAATGACAAGCAGGGGTTGCCGAAGGTCAATTCTAACCCGGTTTTTCACGGGTGAATAACGCTTTTCTACACAGCTTTTCAATTAAGACACTTTCCGTTCATATGTCCACACTACGATACTCCCCTGCAAATGTGTCATAACCGGTCGAGGGCGACGACACTATCTGTGTGAAACATGTGCACGATCAAAGGATGCTATGACAGTGGCAGATACTTTGTACAGCTTCATCCTCCATGTCAATGAATCCACTCATCCGCTGGCCTTAAGCTACTGAATAAAAAAGAACTAGTTAAAAACACTTTATAAAATAAATAGCTAGTTTTCTGATTTGCATTTGCAGCTTTTGTAATTCTTGATTAAATAACATGCGGTGTCTGTTTTTACCGTAGATTGAGGTAAAGTGCGTTAGAAGTGTCTTGGACTAAACGCTTCGTCACAAGTGCTTTGATTATGTACAGTTGTGTCAGATGAATGAGGCATTAAACCCCAACCCGTGAAGATCCGGATTAGAATTGATCTTCAGCAACTCATGCTCGTAAGAGCCGACTAACGGGATCGGTTGGTCAGGCTGTCTGACTTGGTTGACACATGTCATTGTATCCCAATAGTGTAGATGGATGCTCATTACGTTGATCATTGGATTGTCTGGTCCAGCTTCGATTATTTACAGACCGCCGCCACATAGCTGGATTATTGTTGAGTGCGGCGTTAAACAACAAACCAAACCAAAACGATACGGATTGGGGGCGGTTGCAACTTTGGTCTAAAGGATGTAACTAGGTATCGAAATGGCAAATCCACTCTGGTCTACCATTGCGTTCAAGAAAATGGCGAGGTTTTCTTTCTCTTTATTTATATTTTTGTTCACTCGCCCTAAATTGACACCACAGGCAAGGCGCGGATTGTAATCTCTGCCTCCGCCTCTGCCGGAGTACAGCCAGAGGTGGGTCTCAAATCATCCCCCTTTGATGAAGCTGCTCTTTACAGGCGTTGTAACATGCCATCATGTACTTATCGAGTCTCTTGCTGACACGTCGTTAAACGAGTATCCAGCTCTCACCTTCTGAAGGAGGATCTTGTATTCACGTACTTTAACGAGAATCTTGTCCGTCTAACGGTCCCTGAAATAAATTACTTTTTCTTTCACCAGACCCCTCTTGCATTGCATAAGCCCCTGATTCTCCCAGCGGGCAGCTTTTAAATCTAAGTAGAGATATTTGATAACATTCGCTTCTATATTTTCAGAGTGGTTACGTCTGAAGTCTTCACGAACTGTAACTGGTATGTCACCTTCAGGAAATGTAACAAATACATGTCTTACTTTCACATACTATAACAAATAGGCCTACTCACACAAGTGAAACGTCGCACTGGAGAATATTTCGCTCAGATGACGACGTGCATGCGTGTGTATGTGTGGCTGCTTGTACTAGCCCAGACTGAAGCTGGTTTTATAGTGTTAGCCCACTGAGATACCATGCCGCAGTGAAGCATGAATACCCCACTCAGACACATTATACTGACTCCGAGCCGACCAGTCCTTGTTGTACCCATTAATGCCGAGCGCCACGCAGGGACCAACAAGTACCATATTTTAACGTATTTTGGCATGAAGCGACCGGGGATCGAACCTGCGACCTTCCGCTCTCCGGGCGGACGCTCTAACCACTACACCACGGAGGCGGTCACTCTACCAGTATGCATATCTCACTTTCACGTACTCTTATCAAGTACATTTATCTTCCTTCCATGTACTCTAATGAATATATATCATGGCTTGCACGTAATAAGACAGGTCTCATGCCTCTCTCTCTCTCTCTCTCTCTCTCTCTCTCTCTCTCTCTCTCTCTCTCTCTCTCTCTCTCTCTCTCTCTCTCTCTCTCTCTCTCTCTCTCTCTCTCTCTTTCTTACAGCAAACCTTGATCCTGAAATAAACTCTTTCGCCCTTCACGTCTTCAAATTGCACAGAAATAGCTCGAATGGCGAACTATATCACGGTTTAGCTGATTTCTTCGGCTCTTAGCTTTTAAAGCCGCACTTAATGAGAGGAAATTTCACGAGATAAGCTCTTTGTCAATTTCAGTTATTCCTTGCACTATTTAATCACAGCTCCCAACAATGTCAGGAATTTCCTCAGATTCCTTGCGTTAAGTGGTGCCTGTGCACTTTTTTCTGTTATTTCTTTGAGAAAAAAACTTCGTGACGTCTTTGGACGATGAAACTCAAGAAGTAAATGTAGCGTCGAATGCAATTAGATTTTATCATCGAGGGTGCCCTTTCATAGGAGTTAACAATGTTTTTGGTTTACAAAACGCAAAGAGAGTGAAACCATTTAATTGAAAGGATTTATCGTCGCATCTGAGTTAACGCCACGTTATGCCAGTGGGTTCCCCTACACTGACGCCAGGCTCTCGATCTGATAACCTTTTCGTATCACCGCGGCACTGACGGTATGGTATGCTCCTGGTAACGCTTTCAGTCGGCCACTGGGTCCTAAATTGTCTATGCTGTCAGATAAAAAATACATACACTCTGTCTGTATGTCTATAAAAACAGTGACAAAGATAGGTTAGTGTTTAGGGTTTGAATTCCCTTTGCTCTCTTCGATGCCATAGGTTATGTCGGATAGGTTTTAGAATTCAGATTAATGTATTTTCATTCAATATCACTTGACAAATTCGATACGGCTGAATTGCTGCCAATGTGACTTTAACTTTTAATTTTAACTTGGCAAAATGACTGGTCGCAAGGACCCAACACGCGATTATTTGAATGAATAGCGAGTTTGTTAATCCAATAGAAATGTAAATATCTTTGCACATTCAAGTCGTTATTTCTGAATTGTGACATATCCACTGCACTTCATGTGACAATGTGTAATATTACTACTCCGTTGCAGCCCAGAGAACGTTTGTTCTGGAATAATTTATAAATATATAATTTGTTTAACGACACACTCAGCAATATTCGAGCTCTCTGGCGGCGGTCTGTAAATAATCGAGTCTGGACCAGACATTCCAGTGATTGAGATCA